CTACGGTTCTGGATGTCATGCGCCGTCTTGTCAGCGGTCGGCCGGCGCTCGGCGCTCGGCGCAGCGCGGTCAGCATCTTTCAGCGGCCATCGCGGGCGTGGCGGTGGCCATCGCAGCAGGCGGGGGCGCGCGAATATTCAAAACGTCAGGAGTGGGATTCGAACCCACGATCCCATAGGGGGAAGCAGACTAGAAGTCTACCGCCTTAACCACTCGGCCATCCCGACATCTTGCTTTGGTTTGTGTCGCATTATGGTTTTGTGTCACCCATACGCGTGACGCTGCTCGGCTGGTCTTGCGCGCCGCTGGCGAGGTCCAACGTAGTACAATGTAATTTAAATACTTGTCCAACGTGGTCCAACGTGGTCCAACTTGGTCCAATACGGACAATATGGTCGTGGTCCAACAAACAGTAGAACGTGGTCCAACGTGGTCCAATGTAGTCCAACATGGTCCAACAAACACTTCAACGTGGTCCAACGCAGTCCAAAGTGGTCGAATGCACTCCAACGTGGTCCAACAAACGATGCAACGCAGTCCAACGTGGTCCAACTTGGTCCAATACGGACAATATGGAAGGGGTGGTGACGAGACGTTGCAGCCGCTGTTGCAGCCGCTGCCGCAGCCGCTGTTGCAGCCGCTGCCGCAGCCGCTGTTGCAGCCGCTGCCGCAGCCGCTGCCGCAGCCGCTGTTGCTGCTGCTGCAGCTGCTGCTGCAGCCGCTGCTGCAGCCGCTGCTGCAGCAGGCCGCCCGCCGACGCCAGCCGCGATGGCCGCTGAAAGATGCTGACCGCGCTGCGCCGAGCGCCGAGCGCCGGCCGACCGCTGACAAGACGGCGCATGACATCCAGAACCGTAGGGGGCGTTCTCTATGTGTCATGTTGGCCGCGCGGTCTAAGGCGTCAACTTTAGAGAACTCGGCTGCCGCGGAATGGGTTCGAGCCCCGCTCCTCGCCGATTATTTTCGCTTTCCGAGAGCTCCTGAGCGTGCTAGATGGGTTGCCTACCTCCTCGGCGACTCGCTCCACTGCCCCCCCCCACCCTCTGCTCCACTAGCTCCGCCGCTCCAACCCCTCCACTGCACTCGCTCTCTCATTTACTACTCTCTTAGTGTCATATTGTGCCCTCCGCCGGCATGACGCGTCATGCCCTTGTTTATTACTATCTCTCAGTATGGGGGCAACTCAAGCACTGAAGCAGGCTTACCAAGTGCGGTTTCCACTACTGCCCGGATGAGCTGGGTTAACGCCAAGACGCCATTTGTCTCTCTTCATGCGACGCTCGGCTGCCACAGCATCTGTCACCGGCCGTCCATCTCGGTCGCAAAGAGGTTCCAAAAGAATTTCCCGTTGAGTGCTTTCGTCGCGTGACACCAAAACATCCTGTCCAGGTTTGATGAGGTTAATAAGATTGACCCCTGAAACAAAAAGGGCTACACTGAAATCCGTTTTGTGATACTTTTACTCAATTTTTGCGATAACTGGTGTTTTGCGATTCCCACGCTAATAGGCATGATAACTCCAAAACGAAGGGGCCACCACTTTGATTTAGAATGTACACAGAATTACGTGATTACAGGGATTACACGTGAATTTTGAGGGATTATACTTGAGTTTTGTTGAATTTCTGGCTCTAAAACCATTAAATTTGGACAAGAAGGTGAAATTTGGCTATAATGTTAAAAAAATTGGTGAAGTATTACTCGGAATACATAAGGAGTACATAGGGATTACACCCTCATCTGTACACAGGATTACGCGAGTGGTGGCCCCCTCGCTCCAAAAAATGTGATAAAAGAACGAGGGGGCCACCACTCCATTTTTGAGCGTACACACGATTGCGGGATTACGGTGGACTACGGTGGACTACGTGGGACTACGCGGGACTACAAGGGATTACTAAAGATTACGTATGATTGCGGAGGATTACACGAGATTACGCAAGATTACATGGGATTACGCGGGATTACATGGGATTACGCGGGATTACATGGGATTACGCAGGATTACGTAGGATTACATGGGATTACGTAGCATTACATAGGATTACGTAGGATTACATGGGATTACATTGGATTACGCGAGATTGCGGATGATTACGCGTCTGCAATCAAACGCGCTGCTCCAGATCAACGCCCTGGGCGTAGGCAACCACACTGACGTTGGCGTGTGAGGCTTGCCGATCCCTGGCCCCTCGTCCCTTCTACTCGCCACCCCTCCCCCCACCACTCCTCTTCCTCACCTCACCCGGATCAGGAATCTGGAATCGGGACCACTCGTTTCGTCGCCTCGACTCTCTGCCTCGGCCTCGGCTGGTCGGGTTCGTGTCGTAGCCATGTGAGAGGTGAGAGATCTGTACGGTCGCTGTGAGTGGGTTGTTTGCGATCAGACGATGCCAAGACCAAGATTAAATTACGAAACTACACTCTAAATGTTGAAATGGCAATTTTGTATCTAGGAGAGATGCGTTCTTAAGCACATCTCTAGCGGATGCAAATTTGTATCTAAAATGTTACAACTTGTACTGAGACTAGGTACAAATGACTTTATTTGTGTCTAATTTACGTGCAAATTTGCATCCGCTAGAGATGTGCTTAAGAACGCATCTCTCCTAGAAACAAAATTGTCCTTTTCCATTTAGTGTGTAGGTAAAGTTCACACTTAAGGCTGCGCTCGAATGCGCAGTTTGGACTTAGAGGACAAAACTTAATGAAAGATGAAAAATGTAATTAATAAGGGTCAATGTGCGGATTTGTGCTGGTATTTGTTACACTTTGTTTGTCTTTTATTTTGTGGCAATTAGACGATTCAGCATACCCCCCCCCC